GCCCAGGCCCAGAGTTCAGGCCCCATGACCAGACCCAAAAAATAAATAAATAAAAATAAAGTACAAAGAAGTACATACTATAGTTATGTACTATAGCAAACATTTACTAAAAGTGATTATATATTATCATTTGTGTATATATACATAAAATCCTTCAAAGGATACACAAGAAGTCAATAACAATGAAATATGAGAAGGGAGAAAACTGGTGGCTATGGTCAGAGATAGAAGGAAAGTGTTTGCTCTATTTTATGGGGTATTTTCTTTTTTTTCCTGCTATGTTGCACAGGCTGGCCTCTAGCTACTGAGCTCAAATGATCTTTTGACTCAGTCTCTTGAATAGCTGAGATAGATGCTCATACCCTCACTTCCCACTGTTGAGTACTTTTATACCTACTGATTTTTTTAACTGTATGTATATATCACACAAAGACAGTGACACTTACAGTCTTACTGTGCTTATAATATATTACCAAGCCTTTTATCATGGCCCAAAAATATCCGTATGATCTGACCTCAGAATAACTTTTTCTGTCTTAATTTACTGACATTCTTCCCCTTGTACAATTCGCTCCAGTGACATTGACATTTTTTATTCCTTCAACAGGCCAAAGTGTTCCTCACATTAGACTCTTGTCCTTGCTGTTTGCTTTGCCTAGAATATTCCTTTCCAGATATCATATTGTTCATCTTTTTTCAGTTGATGCAGGTTTGCATTCAAATGTCTCCAACTCATTTTGGCTTTTCTTGACTCCAAACATCCTCTATCTTCTTGCTGTATTTTTCTTCATATTACTACTACCTGTCTAGTATTATGTTATTTCTGTTTTTCATCCCTCCTCCTAGTATGCATATGCGCATATATCCACAATACAGCAACACACACACACACAAAACACACAGTTGAATTTTGGCTTCCTGAAAGCAGAGACTTGTTTATTTTTGTTTACTGAAGTTTCCACTATCTAGAATAAAGTCTAGTACTTAATATGTGCCAAATATATATTTATTGGCTAGATAAATGAGAGTCTCAGTGTTTGATACCTTTTATTACTAGGGCATTAGAACAGCATGGATTCAGAGAAACTAATTGCTGAAATGACCAGCTCCCTATGTACACTGAAAGCCAATCAATTGTAGGGTTATTGAATAGTCACTTCATGCAAATTGGGATTTCATAGTATTGAATTAGATTTAATTCTGAATTAATTATTCAGTACATACTTACTGACCTCACAGAAATGGCCTATTTCTAAGTGGTTCTTGAGATGGCCTGGGTAAGACCAGCCCTGTTGTGTTAACCTTTCTGCTTTACTTATTTTTCCAGCATTTCTTATACAGAAGCAGTAGAGATCTTAAAGCAAGCATCCCAGAACTTCACCTTCACTCCTGAGGTAAAGAGCAGGGGGAAGAGGAGAGAGAGAGGAAGAGGGAGAGAGGGAGTATTTCCCTTTTGTTCTTAGTTTACTTCATTAAGAATCCTTCATATTAACCTTTGTGTACTTGCTCATAATGTGTAGGCTTTGTTTACTATTTGCTGAACCTTGTTAAAATACTTAGGTTGAGAAATAATTTTGAACTAGAATTGTATTATTTCTAGTAGCAGGTTTTTAAAAAGGTTTTCCAAATTTAGGAAAATGAAAATCAGGAAAAAAAAATCTTGATAATCACAGAATATTACTATAGAATTGAGAAGGTCAGTCATTCCCGTGTACATTCTGAATAATTTTTTAAAGTGATAGTTAAAGAAGGTTCTGTGATTAAATAAGTTTAGACAATATGTTAAACATGTTTGTCACTGTCTTTTAATTCTGTCATCCACAGTCGCTCTTTGTAAAGAAGACTTTTGTTTTTTAAATTTATTTGATAAAGACTGCATAAATTCAAGCTATGTACCATGGTTGTTTGATATGTTATATATTGAACAAGAATTTCAGCTCTTCAGCCAAGACTAGTGCTCTACCACTTAAGCCACAGTGCCACATCCAGCTTTTTCTGCTTCTGTGGAACTGAGGAATCTAACCCAGGGCCTCATGCATGCAAGGCAAGCACTCTACCACTGAGCCACCTACCCATCCATGAGACTCTTATCTCCAAGTAACCACCACAAAGCCAGAGGTGGAACAGTATCTCAAGTGGTAGAGTACTAGCCTTGAAGACAAAAATCTCAGGGACAAAACCCAGGCCCTGAGTTCAAGGCCCAGGACCAGAACATTAAAAAAGAAAAGAAAAGAATGCTGTCGGGCTGGGAAGGTGGCTCAGTGGTAGAGTGCTTGCCTTGCATGCCTGAGGCCCTGGGTTCGATTCCTCAGCACCACATAAGAAAAAAGCCGGAAGTGTCGCTGTGGCTCAAGGGGTAGAGCGCTAGCCTTGAGCTGAAAAGCTGAGGGACAGCGCCCAGGCCCAGAGTTCAGGCCCCATGACCGGACCAAAAAAAAAAAAGAAAGAAAGAAAAGAATGCTGTCTCAGAAAACCTGTTTGGTTCCATGATATTCTGCCTACTGCAGTGTCAGTTTTCCCCTTCCCCACTGTTATATTGTATATATAGTAACTGATATATGTACATAAACATATTGACTTCTCTCTTTTTTAAACCAAATGACTAATAGTGTGTTTTGATTGACATCAAAATGGAAATGAGGAGCGTAAAATCCTGGTTTACAACATTACTCCTTTTATCCATTAGTGATACTCTTATTCAGCTATTCATAATCCTTTTTATTTTTTTTGTGTATCTTATTTGGTTGGAGAATGTTTTTTGGGGGGGTGGGGGTTCAGTTGTGGGGCCTGAACTCTGGGCCTGGGCGCTGCCCCTCAGCTCTTCAGCTCAAGGCTAGCACTCTACCACTTGAGCCACAGCGCCACTTCTGACTTTTTTTTTCTGCTTATGTGGTGCTGAGGAATCGAACACAGGTTTCATCCATGCAAGGCAAGCGCTCTACCACTGAGCCACCTTCCCAGTCCTGGTTGGAGAATTTTAATGGTTTTATTTATCATTGTAAAATCAAGGACTATTGTGTAAGTTTTTTATGCGTAACTGTTACATGTAAGGAAATTTTAAGTAAGGTTAAAGTACTCTTAAAAATGAAGCCTAGAGGGCTGGAAGAGTGACTCAAGTGATAGAGTAAAAGCCAAGCAAGCTTGATCCCTGAGTTCAAACCCCCATACTGGCGTTAAGCAACAATAACATCAAAAAATAATAATAAGCTGGGTGCTGGTGGCTCAAGCTTGTAATCGTAGCTACTCAGGAAACTGAGATCTGAGGATCAAGGTTCAAAGCCAGCCCAGGCAGGAAATTCTGTGAGACTCTTATCTTCAATAAACCACCAGAAAACCAGAAGTGGCGCTGTGGCTCAAGTGGTAGAGCACTAGCATTAAGCTGAAGAGCTCAGTGACAGCACCCAGGCCCAGAGTTCAAGTCACACGACCAACAAAAATAATAATAGTAATAATAATGATGGTGATAAATCTTAGATAGGTTTCCCTTCACATATTTACATAAACTTCTTGTTTTAAAGCGGGAGAGAAAAAAGAGGTCTCTAGAAAAGTAGGAGTAACAACATAATATTAAGCATGTAAGCCAGACATGGTGGCTCACATCTGCAATTCCATCTACTTTAAAGGTAGAGATCAGGTTCCAGGATAGTCTAGGCAAAATATTAGCAAGACTATCTCAACAAATAAGTCAGTTGTGTAATGCATGATCTGTAATCCCAGCTACTCAGGAAATGTAGGTGGGAGGTTCAAAGTCCAAGGCTGGCCCAGGAAGAAAATAACCTAAGCAAAATAATTGTGCATGTGACTCAGGTGGTAGAGTGGAGGCCCTGGGTTAAAAAAATATAAAAAAGGGCTGGGAAGGTGGCTCAGTGGTAGAGTGCTTGCCTTGCATGCTTGAAGCCCTGGGTTCAATTCCTCAGCACCACATAAGCAGAAAAAGCTGGAAGTGGCAATGTGGCTCAAATGGTAGAGTGCTAGCCTTGAGCTAAAGAGCTGAGGGACAGTGCCCGGGCCCAGAGTTCAGGCCCCAGGACCAACCAAAAAATAAAAAATATATATAAATATAAATATATAGTATCTGTGTCTTTAAACCATCTCTCCCACCATTCCTATTCCCACTTGTCAGATATTCTGATAAGTGTTTTAACCATAATTTGTTCTTGTTTTTATTTGTAACCAATTATATTTTTGTGTAATTTTAAATTTAATATTAGTCTTTCACCTTGGAAGTTTTGTGAAGTAGAGAATTCTAACTGCTTTTGTATTACTAAATTTAGTACCTAACATTGTACCTGGAATTTGATAAGCACACTAGTATTTGCTCAACAGTTCTATTAGCCATCAAAGAGCATATTGTATTTAAGTTGACTCAATTTAAAAAAAAAATTCACCAACAAGAGCCATCTAGCCAGAGATAGACTCAATATTAGAAATATTATCTTCCATCATTTAATTTCCTGAGAAGACATAGCAACAGTAACTTGGAGAGAAGCTCTAAGCAATATTAATAAAAACTGCAGTGCTGAACAGTTTTAGCCCTTTAGAAAGTACGCTTTGTTTTCCTGTTGGTGCTGTTCACTCGCTAATGCTGCTGAGGGACCAAAAAATAGTGTTTATGTACTGGATTCAGCTTTCATCCTTCCAGGTCTTTGGTTCTGGCTAACAAGTGCATCCCTTTAGTTTAAGTCAACTGTGTAACCTCACAGACAGCTCCACACATTACTGAGCCTCAGGGAGTGGGAACCCTTGGAACTGGAAGAAGCTATTTTGGGGTACTTAATTGAATGTTTCACATCTGTCCTCTCCTTTTGCTATTACTATTTTTTTTTCATGACAGTGGGGTGCTGATCTACAAACTGAACATGAGAAATACTTAGTACAGCACTGTGGTAACATACCTGTCTTCATCATTAATTATCCACGAGCACTCAAGCCTTTCTACATGCGGGATAACGAAGATGGCCCCCAGCACACAGTAAGAAAAGATATTCATTAAGTTGGGGTTTATTATCTGACTCTGGGTTTTCCTTGGTTTAATTTTATCTAGTTTTTCTGATGTTTATTTAAATTATAGCTATCATTCTTTTCATCTCTTCAGTGACAATATTTTCTAAATCCATTACCTCTAACAAACTTAACAATGAAATTCCAAGATTCCAGTGTTCTGTAAACATCATCTGTCAAAAAGGTGGCCTTAATTAGCCAATGCAAGTAAAGTTGTATTTTATTTTGTTTTGGTTTAACTGAGAGGAAATATCTTACAATATTTTATGGCAACGCTGTATGACAGATCTACTGTCCAACTTCTGTTACATGCTGCAGTAGTAGCACGTGAAGTTTCAGACTAGAACTACTAACTATAATCTACCATAACTTTTTTTGTGGGTATGTGCTGGTCCTGAGGCTTGAATTCTGGCCCAGGGCTCTGTCCCTGAACTTTTGTGCCCAAGTTTAGCGCTCTACCACTTGAGCCACTGTGCCCCTTCCAGTTTTCCAGTGGTTAATTGGAGAAAAGAGTCTCACAGAATTTCCTGCCCAAACTAACTTTGAACTGCTATCCTCAGATATCAGCTTCCTGAGTAGCTAAGATTACAGCATGAGCCCATAAACTTTAATGTGGATGTTTATTATAACCTTTAATGCAGTTATTCTTTTGTATTTATGTAGTGTATGGCTATTTAATTAATGAATTAATGACTCTATGTTGGAGATCCTGAAGATCACTTTCTCACTCACCAGTGTATTGTTAGTGCCTGACAAAGTGCCTGGAAGATATCTAGTGATAGGCAGGTGATTAGATGGATAGGTGAATGTATACAATTCAGCTTGGTTTTAGACACACATAGTAGGTACATGGTAAGTAGTGACTTAATTTGCTAAAGAAATTGATGGGGTGCTATAAAGAACTTTCACTTTAAATTTCATTTTCGTTCTTGTTTTTTGTTGGTCGTGGAGGCTAAACTCTGGGCCTGGATGCTGTCCCTCAGCTCTTCAGCTCAAGGCTAGTGCCCTACCACTTGAGCCACAGCGCCACGTCTGGCTTTTTTCTGCTTATGTGGTGCTGAGGAATCAAACCCAGGGCCTCATGCATGCAAGGCAAGCACTCTACCACTGAGCCAACTTCCCAGCCCACTTTAAATTTTATAAGTGATTATAGTATGGCTTAAAGGAAAGTCTAATGGCCCTAGGATAAGATGTTTTTAGGGTCAACTCTCAGATCTGTGCATATAACTATGTAATCTTAGTTATACCACCTTTAAATCTTAGTTTCCTGATATCTACAAGTAAAATGATAATATTTTCCAGAGTTTCTTTATCTGTTTTTTCTTGGACAAATAGCAAATTTTTTTTTGTTTCATATTTCTTAGGGTTAGGAATTTGGGCATAGCCCATTTCAAATCTTAGGAGGTTGTAGGCAGGGTGGTAGGTGAAGCTGTGATTTACTGTGTTCCGGAGTTCTGATGACTAAATTACGTAATATATGAAAAGTACATGGCAATATTTGGAGTGGTAGATAATCAAGAACAATGAAGTTTTTTCTCCTTACTGTCTACATTGTGATTAAAACTTAATTGTGGCCAGGTGCTGGTGGTTCACACTTGTAATCCTACCTTCTCAGAAAGCTGAGATCTAGAGGGTAGAGTTCAAGGCCAACCCTGGACAGAAAGGTCCATGAGATATTCCATCTCCAAAAATTAACCTGCAAAAGTAGAGGCCTAACTCAAGTAACTGAGCAACTTCAAGGACCTGCGTTCAAACCACAATACTGATGAGGGAGACCCAAAACTTATTGTAATTTTATTAATCACTTTTATTTCACTGTGACCAAAATATATAACATAAACAATAGATGTAAAAGAGGACTATTTATTTTGGCTCACAGTTTCAAACGTGTCAGGAAGAGCCTGGCAGAGCACAACATTTCACATCATATCTAGGAAACAGAAAAGATAGGACATAGCCCAGGCCCATGTCTCAAGTCACCCAGTTTTCTTAGTAGGCCCCACCACTTGTCTTTTATACCTCCCAGTAATGCCATCAGATTATGAATCTATCAAAGGCTTAATCCATTCATTAAGTCAGTTATTACTAACAAACAATATCCTACATACTTTTCAGTCTAATCAAGTTGACAGGATTAAATATTGCAGAGATAGAGCACATTCATAATGTGTGTATGTACAAATGCAAGAGTGCCTGCACTTCCATCTAACATAGTTATTACATAAGAATCCTTAAAAAGGTATTTGTCCCATGGACTGCACTAACATATCTTACCTTGAGACAAATCACTAGGCCTTGTTTATAGCACAGTCTCTCTAATTATGTGGTCTGTGAAAGCACTATAATAAGACTTTTGTGTACTTCCACAATTTATGCAGTACTATAGCATGTAGCTTATCATTACCAAAATATTCAAGTATCATTTAGTAGGGCTATTAACCTTAACCATAGATTATAAGTTTTTTACAACCTGTTGAAATAAGCACCTGCTTTTATTAAGCACCTGCTTTTATTCCTAACTTTTTTAGTGTTGAATGGCTATCCTAGGAATTTATGTCAAAGTTAAAAGTATGAATTTCAGTCCATTTTAATTTGTTCCCTTATTCTTTACTGTTAAATATTGTACATTGTGAATTCTGTAGAATTCAAGGAATTCTAGAGAATGATGAGAGGAAAAGTAATTTTGTGTGTGTGAAATAGATTTTTAAACTTTTGCTGCTAGTGTATTTCTCCATTTCAGCCAGATAAACATGAACATAGATGCTCCCTAAGCCTTCTGGTAAAACAAGAATGTTCAAATCTATAGTATTATGAAGAAGGGCAAAGAAAAGAAACTCAGGGAGGACCATTTTCTCCCTTTCCTCATGAGAACTTGGCCTTGTTAGCTCTGCTGGCAATAAATCTTTTCTTCTTAAAAAAAAACAAAAAGAAAGAAAAAGAAACTCAGGGAGTCTAGAAATTATTTACATGATCATACTTAAGTAAACTCAATTTTCAGAATTAGACAGGAAATGTGCTCAGGCTTTTAGGCTGAAGAAAAGATTAAAAGTAGATTAAACACAGATTCTAAATAAGCATCCATTATTGAGAACCTATTATGTGACAAATATAATGTTCAAAAGAGAAAAAAACTAATACATATTGAATACATTGAATGTGCCTATAAGGGCCTGTAATCCCCTTCTTACAGAAAAGATGGTTTTGTTTCTTAGCACCTGAGGCTAGACACTTGTGCAAGATCATACAGTTGTTAAGTATTGCAGGATATGTGGCATATTTGGTGGCTTTGCTAAAGCCATGATCTTTCTAGAATAAAGTATTGTAGTATGTCAGAAGAAGCAGTTGACATACAGCCAGCAACCCTAGGTTTTGCTTCTGAAACTACCACTTAATCTTTCTTGGCCAAATATTCTCAGGGGTTCATGGTCAATCCCATTTGTTGATGGGGAAATGCCAATTACAACCACAAAAAGGCACCACTACATACCAATTAGAATTGCTAACATAAAAGGCCTGTGATTCCAGTTGTTCATAACAGAGTTAGGAAACTTCTACTGCTGGTGGGAATATAAATTGATAAAAAAAAAATCACTTTGGAAACAGGCAGAGTCTTGTGTTGGTAAGCCACATACCGACCCAGATAACTTGCAAAAAGTGTTTATTTAACTCAGTTGTAAAAATCGAAGCCCACAATCAGGCAAACCCATTTGTTTGACCTCTGATGAGGGTAGCAGATAGTGGTACATCAAGGTCGAAACCTGTGTATGCACAAGTCACATCTCAGTAAGAGCAAGGAGAAAAGGACAGCCCTCACAAGAATTATCACGAGTCACACGGTGTGTTCATTTCATGAAAGTATAATTATATATACTCATTATTTGTATATATTTTGTACATACATTATACTTTAATAGCTAAGTTTACTTTAAAGGTGGATATTACCCTTGTGTCTTACAGGCTTGTGGAAATCTCATTAACTGTGTACCAAATTGCTTTGCAAATTAAAACTATAATCTGGGCCCTGGTCACACACACTTGAAATCCTAGCTGCTCAGGAAACTGAGACCTGAGGATCACAGTTCAAAGCCAGTCTGGGCAGGAAAATCTATGAGACGTATCTCCAGTTACCCACCAAAAAGCCAGAAGTAGAGGTGTGGCTCAAGCAATAGGAGTGCCAGCCTTGAGCATAAAGGCTAAGGGAGAACACCCAGGCCATGAGTTGAAGCCCCAGTATTGGTGCACGTGCACACGCGCGCGCGCACACACACACACACACACACACACACACACACACACACACACAAATTATGGAGAGATTGAAATACTGGAGAAATCTTGGGCTTCATTCAGCATAGCAGAAGACAAAATGAAAAATAAACCCAACAACTGGTATATAGGTGAGATTGAGGTAGGAAGAGATTAAAGACAAGTAAGATAATTGTGGGAATTTTACTACCTAGGAGGGAAAGATAAGATCTTAGATTAAGTGGTAACAATTACTAAGATAGAAAAAAGGAATTTTTTAAAAAATCTAAACCCAAACCCATCAATAGTCTATGAAATAGAAGATGGAAAAGTAGGGAAAGTCACAGGTAGTTTCCAGAAGTTAGACTTTTATTCTAAAAATGATGGTTTAAACAGAAATGCTTTTCCTCTGTTAAGGGGAAGAACTCATATATTAAAAACCTTTGGCCTCCAGCTGATGTTTTCTGCTAGCTTGCCTGGAATTTAGAGCTCCCGAAGGAAGAAAGAAATGTGGTAACTACCTTGGCCCTGAGGGAAAAAGAACATATATTTCAAGGCAAGGTGTGCATTCCATTCCTTTAAAACCATTAAAAATCTTTGCAAACTGTAAAACTTTTGCCTCTTTCAAGGACCAGACAAGTGGTGACAAACACTTCTGATCCTAGCTGCTCAGGAGCAGAGAAAAGGAAAATCAAGGTTCCTGGCCAGCCAGGTGCTGGTGGCTCAAGCCTGTAATCCTAGCTACTCAGGAGGCTGAGATCTGAGGATCAGGGTTCAAAGCCATCCTAGGCAGGAAAGTCTGTGAGACTCTTTATCTCCAATAAGCCACCAGAAAACCAGAAGTGGCACTGTGGCTCAAGTGTTAGAGTGCTTGCCTTGAGCTGAAGAGCTCAGTGACAGTTTCCAGGTCTAGAGTTCAATCCCCATGACCAATTTAAAAAAAAAAAAAAAGGTTCTGGACCAGCCTAGATAAAAACTTAGCAAGACCCCCATCTTAATCAATAAACTGCTCGTGATGTCTGTGATCCCAGCTAGTTGGGGGCAGCAAGTAGAAGGATCTTGTCTTGGTCTGTTGTCAGTCCCAAGCAAACACAAGACCCTGTCTGGAAAAAACTGAAATGCAAAAGGCCAGGGAGCATTGTAGTTGGAAAGGGCCTGCCTAGCAAGCACAAGGGTCTGAGCTCAAACTCTAGTACCACCAATAGAAGAAAAAGGAAAGAAAAAGAAGTAAAATTGATTCACTGTTATACTAGCCTCAAACCTTTTCAGTCGCTGCTCCTGACAGCCCACTGTTGCATCTGGAAGGGTCTTTCTTTTTAACCTAGCTAGTTGTTTACAGAGGCACAATACTAATGGGATAGCAGTTAAAACAAAAGGTAAGAGAGTCTTGAGACCACAAATATGTTCCTATGGCTTGTAAAACATTGTCTTTTCATAATATTTTGTAATATTATACCATCCAAGTAATAGTCTCTGAAAAATTAAATTAAAAAGCATCTGAATATGATGGTCATTAGTGTTTTTAAATCCTGAAATAGAAGGAAAGAGAAGTAAACAAAGAAAGGACATTAAACTGTTTTCCTTTCTTTGAACTCAATATAGGAAAAAATGGTATACCAAAGGCTTTGTTTCTGTCTAGTCTGCCTGGGGTTTCTTATGTTTGTTTGGAAGCAGTACTCAGGTTATGAACTCAATAGTCTTATGATTGTTAGTTAGGCACTCTAACACTTGAGCCACACACACCCCAGGCCCTTCTGTTTTTGACAGGCAATACTATGCCCAACTTGCTTGTTAGTTCAAGAGCTGAGTTTCATTTTCAGTATGTTGATCAGAATCAAAGAATCTGAATCATGGGGGAGTATCATAAATAGAAAGTAAGGTTTGTTCAGCTTGAGAACCAATACTATTTCTAGACAGCATGTTGTTGCAGCTGTGTGACTTAAGCAAAATTAAAACTTACATACATGGAGGAAGATGGCCAGGGCCATTCCACTCCTAGAACATTTGCCCAAAGTAAACAGGTTTTGTTTAAAGCTGGGGTAGTTGGGGAAAAGTAGTCTATAGTGGTACCCAGCAGGGGAGTGAAAGGACAGAAGCGCTGAAGTCCTTCCAGTTATTTCAAGTCTTCCAAAGATGCATTAAAGCACAGTTGTAATTTTTAATTACAACTACTCAAATAATGGTAATTTTTTTGATTAAGAAAACTTTTTACTATAAATTAGGTGAATTCTTTAGTGATTTAGCTCTGGTTCCTATTCCAGAAAGTTCATTACTCCCAAAGCCATGAAACTCAAATAAGTATATTTTCTGGTCTTAACCTTTTTAGGATTGTTAATTCGGAAAGATGTTTAATAATTCCAGGTCATGTCTGACTCTTGGCTGTGATTTAACAAGGTTCCAGGAAAAAGACTAATGTAGGAAGGTTGACTTACTTTGGGTGTTCTTATGTCGTTACTTTTCATCTTTGTTGCTCAGAAATAATCAGAGACAAAACTTAGAAACAGGAATAAATAGAAATGCTTTGGACCATCTACTTAAAGGGGTTGGATATTTTCTAAAAGGAACTTTCAAACACGTGTGGCTTCATTTCCCAGTTGTACTCTGGTTTGTAGAGCCAGTGTTTTTCCTGAATTGCTGAGTATAACACCCTGCACTACACCACTGTGCCCAATCATTGTGCTTCTGCTGTTTCTGGATCACAGGTGCACCATTGAACCCAGCCATTGAGATGGACTTTTCATGACCTGTTTGGCTGGGGCTGACCTCAAACCATGATTTCCCAATCTCTGAATCTCAACTAGCAAGAATTAGCAGACTTGAGCCACCATGCTCAGCATTACACTAAATTTTTCTCCATTTTGTGCTTTTATATTCTTGAGCTTTAACAAAAGAAAAGAATTTGTTCTCCCAAAGTAATACAAATTGCAAATAAATGTTCTGAAAAATTAAATGTTACTAATAATTGAAATACAAACTGAAGTAACAAGCTGCCAGCTTCCCCTCACCCCACTTTAGGATGCTTTGTGACATCATTTTAGATAGTAAAGAAATACAAATAGGGGCTGGGAAGGTGGCTCAGTGGTAGAGCGCTTGCCTTGCATGCATGAGGCCCTGGGTTCGATTCCTTAGCACCACATAAGCAAAAAGAAACAAACCAGAAGTGGCGCTGTGGCTCAAGTGGTAGAGCGATAGCCTTGAGCTGAAGAGCTGAGGGACAGCGCCCAGGCCCAGAGTTCAGGCCCCACGACCAGACCCAAAAAGAAAAAAAAAATAGGAAATACAAATAAGAGAAAAGAAGGAATAATTTAAATCTACATTCCCATCTTAGTGGCAACATAACTAACTCACATTATGTACACGTAAGTCCCTTTTTTTTGTATCATTGCCTGAAATTTATCAAATAGTCTCCTATTGTTGTACACTTGATTTTGTTATTGTAAATAATGCTGTAATAAACACCCTGTGTTTTAATCTCTTTCCTGTGGTTGATTCAAAACATACTGCATATTTAAAGCCTCTTTTATCTGTGCCAACTTGCTGACTAGAAGAGGTGTAACAAGTATATGCCAGTAGTAGTTTACTTCTTCTCTTATATAGTTTTATGTTGTCTTCTTAACTCCAAAGTGGTATATTTTAATTCATATCTGATTAATAACCAATACTTAAACTTACATATCACATTCTGAAATGCTGCAAATTATATCTCTTCATTTGTAGGGGCAGCAGTGTGTAGGATACATGTGGTTAGCCTGCACAAGGCCCTAGGTTCAATCTCTAGAAGCAGAAATTAAATTCTTCATTGTCACATTATTATGAGAAAACAAATGCACACATACACACACACATACAACAAAAAGAAAGCAGTTAAATTAAGATACTTTTGTGTGTGTGCATTTTTTTAATGAGAAAATGGCTTTATAGTATAGTCTTACCTTGAACTCGAGATGCTCTTGCCTCATATTTCTGAGTACTGGGCTTACAGGCATGTCCCACCATGTGTAACCTTCTAAATAAGAAACTGTAAAGCTATTAAAACATCAAAAGTTGTCTTTTTACTTTTATGGGGAGAAATATTCATTTTACAGTGAAGGAAGGCAATTTGAATATTTAAGATTGTTTGTTTCTGTGATACTGGAGTTTAAATTGAGTATCTTTAGCTGGCTGAGAAGTGCTTACCACTGGAGCCATGCCCCCAGTCCTTTCTGCTCTTGTTATGTTTTGAGTAGGATCTTGCTTTTTGTCCAGGCTGGCCTGGACTATGATCCTCCTATTAATGCTGCTTCTTTACAGCTGGGATGACAGGTATGTGCCAACATGCTTACCTTTTTATTGGTTAAGATGGTGGCTTCTAACTTTATGCCCAAGCTGACCTCAGACTCCATCTCCTGATTTCAGCCTTCTGAGCCACTATGCCCCATTTTAGAATAATAAGTTTTTTTTTAATGTGCTTTGATCTATACCATGCTATTCTTAAATGTATAAGGAAAAAAGAAATCTAAAAAGAAATAGGACAAGGTGTATTCCTCCAGCATAGTGGCAAGTAATTTTTAGTATCCACTGATTGTTGGAATAATCTGAAAATGTAATGCTATTCATGGTTCTTCTTTTTTCTTTTTCTCTTTTTTTCTAGGTTGCTGCTGTTGATCTTCTGGTACCTGGGGTAGGAGAGCTCTTTGGAGGCAGCCTCAGGGAGGAGCGGTACCATTTCTTAGAGCAACAACTGGCCAGGTATTGATCCAACCTAAAAGAAAATTCTCTTTAGAATAGTCCAAAGGTAGTTCCTCTAAAGTAACAGAGAAAAACACCTGGTACTTACACCTGACAGTCACAGATCTCAGAGTCCTAGATCTCAAAGTCCTGTAGCCTGAGTAAAGTGTTTCTAATCTTTCTCAGCTTTCATTTTCTTAAGACTCACAGTGTCAGAAACAAGCCTACAATAATATTTGTCTGCCATTTGTACATATATCTCTCTGTAGAAAGGAGCTTTTTAAATAGCAAAAGGAAGAGGAAGCTTTTCCCTGTAAGCTTGTCCTGCCTGTGTTCTTTTTAACCTTCTCTTGTTTGTAAATGGCAGCCTCCTACAACATATAAGGGCAGACTGAACCAGGAAAAGGATAAAGACAGGAAAAGAAAAGAACTAAAAATAACTGCTCAGCTAGCATTTAGAATAAGGAAATTTCACTTCCCCAGGTTCTCTACTGTGTATGGGTCTTGATTTTGCTATTTTATTTTGACTTGCTGTTTGAGACCTGGTAAATGGATCTATAAATGCAGAGAAAATACTTTGGAAAATGATGAAAAGGGTAACATTGATCAAGATACATTGTATTTGTAAAATGCTTTGTTAAATGAAAAGTCCTTTGTACAACTACTTAAAGATAATTTAAGCTAGCTGCCAGTGACTCATGCCTGTAATACTAGCTACTCAAGAGGCTGAGATCTAAGGATTACAGTTCAAAGCCAGACTGAGCAAGAAAGTCCTTGAAACATTTGTTGTTATTGTTGGTAGTGGGGCTTGAACTTAGGGCCTGGGTGCTGTCCCTGAGCTTTTTTCACTCAAGGCTAGCACTCTACCACTTTGAGCCATAGCACCACTTCCAATTTTCTGGTGGTTAATTGGAGATGGACTTTTCCTGCCAAGGCTAGCTTCTAGCCACAATCCTCAGATCTCAGCCTCCAGAGTAGCTAGAATTACAGGTGTGAACCACTGCACCTCTTACCTGAAATAAATTACTACAAAACCCAGAAGTGGAGTTGTGGCTCAGGTAATAGAGTGCTAGCCTTGAGCAAAAGAAGCTCAGGGACAGTGTCCATACTCTGAGTTCAAGGCTCAGAACCAGCCCCCTTTCCCCTCCCCTCCCTCCCCCCCCCCCCCCCCCAAAAAAAATGTAAAAGATAAAAAACAAGAAAAAGAAAACACTTTGGAGATGAGAAATAGGGAATCATATTTCTAATTGAACTACCACTCCTGTATATTCAAGATTTGCCAGAAAATGTATGGTTTGCCAGCAGACCACAATGACTTCCTAATTAGCCCAGGTTCTAAACCAATTTTCCATGATTTTCACTTGGGCTGTTCCAGACTTATAAACTTCCTGTCTTAATCCTCTTCTCCAGATAATACTTGGTTTCATAATCTGGAAAAGCTAGAATTTGAAAGCATCCTATTAAATTAGCCATTAGTAAGGCCTTCTTTTCCTAATGGAGAAATGCTTTCAATATAGATGCTTTTCCAAGATCCTAATCTATAAATCTTTAGGTAATTTAGTTTTGAAATCCCAGTCTACTAAGGTCTGTATTGGCTTAGGCTCCCAAAGAAAAAGAGGGGTGTGGAGGGTGGGGAGGAGAATTAAGAGGACCTGAGAAGACTCCATACTACCACCAAAGTGTTACAAAATCCTGAGAAAGTTGTGGAATTGAAGGTCAGACGCTAGATGGAAAGAATTTCAGCATTTTCTGTTGTTGTTTTTTTTAAACACAATAAAAATCATACATGGCAAGAAATCTCTTCTGTTGAAAGATTAATTGGTCTGTTTTCTTTCCTAACTTCCTTTCTCCAGGAAACCTTTCCTCATAACCTTAAATGTTTACCTAATATTTGATAATAACCAAATTTATCTTTCCTAATGAAATGGATATGTGTTTCCCTATCTCAGGGATCTGTCTGTGATTACTGGTCATATTTTTCTGTAGTATTATATGTTTAAATTATCACAGCCCTCATCACTTCAGATGCACTGTGGTCCTGGACAATTTGTTATTTAAACAGGGCTGAGATTAACTTTAATGAACACTGAATGCTTAAATGTTATTTACATTTCTCAAATTAGACAAGACAAAATTGCAACACTGTTATGAAGGCAGCCTCAGAATCTGTGTTGTGTAATGTTGTAGAATATGAATTGTATCTATATTCATTGTGTGTACTCAGCCATCTTAACTGGTAATCATTTTTTTTTCATGTCACAGGACAATAAGCCCATTTCAGATTAGTCTTTGGATCCTCTTTTCATTCTGTAGCATTTGTTGTCTAACACTTATTTGAGAATAGCTTAGACTATTAGCAACTTACTATCAAGTTTTATGCCTTCAACTCCATTGCATATTGTTGGAAGACACAATCTTTTTGGCGTACTTTTTCATAAAGAGCTCTTTATACATAATCTAGAATAAGTGTTAAGTGATTTATATATTTATCTTATTGCCATTGCCTGAAACAATTTTTTTTTCCTTTTATAGATCAGGACTTACAGAAGCTTACCAATGGTAAGAACATGTCCCTAAATGATCTTATTCTAGTTACTGGTCTGAATGTTACATAAAAAGACTTTTACTTGGGCTGGGAAGGTGGCTCAGTGGTAAAGCGCTTGCCTTGCATGCTTGAGGCCCTGGGTTCGATTCCTCAGCACCACATAAGCAAAAAGAAAAAAAAAGCCGCAAGTGGTGCTGTGGCTCAAGTGGTAGAGCGCTAACCTTGAGCTGAAGAGCTGAGGGGCAGCACCCAGGCTCAGAGTTCAGGCCCATGACTGGACCCAAAAAAAAAAAAAAGACTTCTACTTGTATTCACACACTCCGTGGGAGAGTGTTAATAGTTGAACAGGGAATCAGAAGCTTACTAATTTTCTTTAGCTCCATGAAAACTAAGTTGTTATTTTGATGTGTTAAAAAGATCTATTATATATCAATTAACATTTTCATGTATAGTATCTCACATGATCATCACAATGCTCAGAGAGATAGGTACTATTATTATTCCCTTTTTGTTACCTCTTTTAGACCTAAGGCCCAGAGGTGCAAAGTGCCTTACAGATCTTACAGTTAAAACTTTGGAGCTGAGAAGTGATCATTTAATCAAATACCTTTGCTCTTAACTATGCTTCAGTTTCTTTATGTGTGAAAACTCAAATTAAGTCTAAGGTCTGCAAGAACTGGAATCTTAGTTACCTAGAGAAGAAAGACATCTGTCTGCAGTTAGACATTCACTTCCTGTCTGTTCTGTACTTCTTTTCACAGTCCTATTAAAGAACTTTGCACTAGAGATAAGTTACTTGTTAGTATTTCTGTAATACACTTCTTTAGAAACTCGATGTAGTACTGCAGATTTCATTAACCCTTTGCTGTCCTCAGGAAAAGAAGAGGTAAATTACACTTTTAGTAATGAATAAGATAGGTTTCAGAGTTGCTAAAATTACATCCAGATAATGGCATTTGAATGCTTTGTAATTACCATTAAGGGCTTTGAGCTTATTTAATCTCTCTGAGAATCTTGCTTTTTATGGCTACAAAGTGGAATGATTATATTGTTTCTCAGAGTTATTGTAAGGATGAAATGAAACAATATAAATTAAATATCCACTCTGAATGGAAGACTCAGTAAATGCTACTTTCTACCCCTTTTCCTTTGCTCTGAGTCTTGATACTTAGTTAATAAGCCTGACTAAGCAAGTGTATGCATTTCTCCTTAGACTCTGTCTGTGAGTTAATATAGGATATAAAAACTAGCCTTGATGAAAAGCTAATTGTTTTAATTATTGGTTGTGTAACTTTAGGCCTTTGCTAGTTTTTATTGACAATTTCAATATTAATCTTTCCCAACTAAAGTTTTCACATTCTTTAAGATTTCTAACTGTAAGTATTTATTATTTTGCTTCCTGTTACATGGTAATCATAGTATATTAAAGGTAGAAGGAACCTTAGAAATACTCAAGTCTGATCTCTGCTAGTGTTCCTCCATACTGTGAATAGCCAGGCATGAGAAAAGATACTCATTCCCTGCTTTTACAGACAATGTGCAAAGAAAACCTATAACTAGTTTTACAGATTTTTTTTTTTTTTGGGTCCGGTCATGGGGCCTGAACTCTGGGCCTGCGCTCTACCACTTGAGCCACAGCGCCACTTCCGGCTTTTTTTTTTTGTTTTTGCTTATGTGGTGCTGAGGAATCGAACCCAGGGCCTCAGGCATGCAAGGCAAGCGCTTTAACCACTGAGCCACCTTCCCAGCCCCTAGTTTCGCAGATTTTAACAGTATCTCTTCTATAACCAGTTGCCCTAGAATCGTAACAACAATCAAGTGTGTGTATGTGTACATACACATATTTTTCTTGGAAGTAGTTAGTGTTTTGTTTTAACCTGACAAAGCCAACTCAGGAAATAAGAAATTTCAACTGAGTTTACAAACATGTCAGCACCAATGTATGAGAAATTTAGACACATCTAAAACTATTTCTAGAAGCCTGTTCAAGTCCTTCAGGTATTTATGACTAGTGGTTTGATATGCCTTTGATCAATCTTGTCTCATTTTGTCACTAAATCCAAGGATACTTGCATGACTTGTAAACCTAAAATATAAATTCACCAATTAAATTTCAGTTACTCAAGATACTAATCTGAGTTTGATCTGAGATCAGTAAGTCCTATTGATACTCTTTGTGGTTATAGCTCATCTTGTTGAAAGTTATCTGTTTTAGAAGGTAAATACTTAATTTTGACTCCCTAAAATAATAGTTTGTCTGCTATTATAAATAGTGAGGAGAGGGGCTGGGAAGCTGGCTCAGTGGTAGAGCGCTTGCCTTGCATGCCTGAGGCCCTGGATTCGATTCCTCAGCACTACATAAACAAAAAGAAAAAAGCCAGAAGTGGTGCTGTGGCTCAAGTGGTAGAGTGCTAGCCTTGAGCTGAAGAGCTGAGGGACAGCACCCAGTCCCAGAGTTCAGACCCATGACCGGACCCAAAAAAATAAATAAATAGCAAGGAGATAGATGACAATCTTTATGCTTGAGCCAAATGACTGTCAGCTATGTGATAAATCTTATTGTAGAAATCATTTTACTAATTATTTAAGATACACCTTATTTTAATTCATATTAGATGACTCAAAAAGTTCTCTACCAAATGATACAAATTATATAAATAAAATCTCTTCATTACATGTTATTCTATGTTGGTTTATTGAAATCTGTGTCTCAATCATGGCTGTACCATTTGTTAGCCATGTTGTCTTAAGTGAGACTAGAATATGCCTGGGTGAGCATTAGAGGCTATTGAGTGTACTAGAAAAATGACTCCAGGAATCAGCACTGGTCCAAAAACAGAAACTGGACCCATGCTGGCACTCAAAAAGTATATTTTTGTAACTTTAAAGAGTCGTTCTTCATGAAGGAAGTACCTATCGCAGACCATATCCATGTCTTTCCCTATGCAGTGTAAAATCAAGGGCATAACTCTCTATAATATATCTAGAAAAGCACTTCGTTCTTTTCTGTCTATTCAGCAGTATAACGTGAGCAAAGAGGAAAACAGCATTATCATTGGCATGTCAATAAAAGAAAGGAAAACAGTTAAACTCAGTATTAAATAGTCTGCGCTTCATGAGGCAAGACTTTGCATTTGTGGACTCATAAATAACTTGAAAGGAAAAAGAATCAAGTGACTAAAGCTTACAGCTGCACAACAGGATGTACTGCCACTTATCTCGGTAACCTTGGGTAGCTACATCCCTGTAACTTCTCCATTTCTCTCTCTGAGGAGGGAAAAGACTAGGCTGGTCTACCACAATGATGTAGAACCGTAACAAATGATTGCAAAAGACTCTTGAAATGTAGAATTCTAATCATACAGTGTTTATAGGTAATCATTCTCTGTTTTTAAAAACAGGTATTTGGACCTTCGTCAATTTGGATCTGTGCCACATGGAGGTTTTGGGATGGGATTTGAACGCTACTTACAGTGCATCTTGGGAATCGCCAATATCAAAGATGTTATCCCTTTTCCAAGATTTACTCATTCCTGTCTTTTATAGCTAAAAAGGTGGTTAAGGAAAAGTTCCCTGTGGCAAAGTCACTGCATCAGAATATGCATACAGAAGTCTGCATTATTGAGCTATAGAAATGCTGATTTCAATATATAATTATTGTTCCATAAGATGTAACATAAGAAAAATAAAATCATGACTTTTTTAGGAAGTCAAAAGTATTTCATCAGATAATTAACTCCCCCAGGAGAAGATCTTCTAGCAAGTGGACATTCAAATCTATTATCTTGATTAAGAAAATATGTAGCTGAGCCTACATATTAGGCCTACTGTCCCAGCCACTCCAGAAGCTGTGACTGAAGGATCACTTGAGCCTAGAAGTTCAAGGACATCCTGGACAACACAGTGAGCCCCATCTCAAAAAGGAACAAAGGAGAAGGAAGGAAGGAAGCAAGGGAGGGAGGGAGGGAAAGTAAGGAGGGAGGAAGGAAGGAAGGGAAGGAGGGAAGGAAAGGGAGGGGAAGGGAAGCAAAGGGAAGGGAAGGAAGGAAAACAAACTAAATAGCCTCAAAAGTCTTTACATTGAGACAAGATGCAATAATGTTTTTTACTTTGTCTTTTATCAGTAGATCACTTATTTACATGTATAGCTTTTGAGAAACAACCAGCAGCTCAAAATAAAATGTTGTTGGCTCTTTTCTTTTTTGCCATTTAACCTTTAGTAAATGTCCATCTTATTCTCAATGTTTACTAAACTTTACAGCTGAATATTTCTTATCAGTGTTTTAATTGAGTTAAGGAATTTACTGTTCTGAATTAAAATCTTCCATTGGGCTTGTTATTTAAAAAAAACATTTGTAACTTCTAATCTATAAAAGTTGATGCGATTACATTAATTTAACTCTTTAGACACTGTTGTAGATAATCAATATTAGATATTTGTAACTATGCTGTCATTAAAATAGATTTTTAAATCAATATCAGAAAAAAGTTACTTTTAAATTTCTCAGTTCTTTCCTGATGAAATGTGGAAGAAAAGTACCTTTAATTCAAAACAGGGATGGGAAATGTGGCTAAGATGAAAGGATGAGCAATTTTTCAGCCATAACTGGTATAGTCTCTCACAAGGCTGAGATATGAGAATTGGAGTTCAAAGCCAGCCTGGGCAGGAAGATCCCTGAGACTTTTCTCTCCAATTTACTACCCTAAAACAGCCAGAAGTGGAGCTATTGCTCAAGCCTGAGCACAAAATCTCAAGGAGAATACTTAGGCTCCGAGTTGAAGCCCCAGAACAGGCACACAAAAAACAAACAGAAAAAAAAAGAATTGGCATGGTCTAAAAGAATGATAGAAGCAATGCTTTGACAGTTTGAGACCTCACAGGTCTAGCACTTTGGACAAACCACTTATTCTGTGTAAGTACAAGAATTTTCTTCACAGAGTTGATGAGGATAATGATATGGCTGTGTGTGTCCTTAAATATTTAAGGACAGGGGGCTGGGAGGTGGCTCAGTGGTAAAGTGCTTGCATTGTATGCATGAGGCCCGGGGTTCAATTCCTCAGCAACACACTTGAGCACTGTGGCTCAAGTGGTAGAGCGCTAGCCTTGAGCTGAAGAGCTGAGGGACAGTGCCCAGGCCCAGAGTTCAGGCACCACAACTGACCAAAAAAATATATATATATAAGGCCTGGAAATGTAGCTCAGCTGCAGAGCATTTGCTTAGCATGCATGTCATTTGGTACAGCACTATAATCCCAAGCACTACAACAAAAGACCCTATACAGACTTCTTAAGAACTCTTATTTAGTCATTTAGTCTTCATTGAGTTGCATATATATGAACCTATAGCAAATAGTATTTTCAGTAGAATTCAGTGTAGCAAATCATTGTAAAAGTCACTCATTGAAGAATTGAATTTTCTGAGTCTCATATAGTTTTCTTAGGTTATTTTTAATGAGTTTATGAATCATTTCTTAACCTAATTCAAAATCAAACAGCAGCCGGGCGCGGTGGCGCGCGCCTGTAATCCGAGCTACTCGGAAGGCTGAGCCCGGAGGATCGCTTGAGTCCAGGAGTTCTGGGCTGCAGTGCGCTATGCCGATCGGGTGTCCGCACTAAGTTCAGCATCAATATGGTGACCTCCCGGGAGCGGGGGAACACCAGGTTGCCTAAGGAGGGCTGAACCGGCCCAGTTCGGAAACGGAGCAGGTCAAAATCAAACAGCTGAAAAGAACTTCTGATCCTTAGGGTTACAAGACAAATTGACCTTCTGCTAAATATACTGGGAATCTTTGCATCTGGGTAGTTGGTTTTCCAGTGTCTTCTTGATAGCTCAGTAGCCGTCAAAAAATCAGTTTCTGAATCTAATTGGTAGCTTTTGCTAAACTAAAATCTCACTTAAAGTCTACTGTCGTGGAACTTCAATCCATGGGCTTGCATATGAAGTTTAAGAAAGGAAGACTTACCTTAACCAGGACTAGAGAGAGAAATTGATTTATTCAAAAATAGTTTGAGAGCTGCGAATGTAGCTTAGTGGTAGAGTGCTTGCCTAGCATGCCTTGGGTTCAATTCCTCAGTACCATATACACAGAAAAAGCTGGAAGTGGCACTGTGGCTCAAGTGGTAGAGCGCTAACCTTGAGCAAAAAGAAGCTCAGGGACAGTGCTCAGGCCCTGAGTTCAAGCCCCAGTACTGGCAAAAAAAAAAAAAAAGTTGAATTTTTTATTTTACTTTATTTGATAAGGTCTAACTATGTAAACCATTAAATTCATGATCCTTATGCCTCTGCCTCCCAAGCTTTGGGATTGCATGCTTAGCCTAAGCTTCTTTTATATGCCAGTCTTTTTTTTTGGGGGGGGGGATGGAGGGGGTCCGGTCGTGGGGCCTGAACTCTGGGCCTGGGCACTGTCCCTCAGCTCTTCAGCTCAAGGCTAGTGCTCTACCACTTGAGCTACAGCACCACTTCCGGCTTTTTTCTTTTTGTTTATGTGGTGCTGAGGAATCGTACCCAGGGCCTCAGGCATGCAAGGCAAGCGCTCTACCACTGAGCCACCTTCCCAGCCCTATATGCCAGTTTTATGTGTGCTAAATATCAAATAAACAGTTGTGACCAAAACAGAAATAACCCTCCTTTGTGGAATTTATGATAAATAATAAGTCATGTGTTACTTCAAATTTGTATGTGCTATGTAAAGAGCAAGATAAGCATGGATAAGTTTGCTAGAAAATACATTTGGGGGAGGGAGGCAGTGATAGTTAACCTTAAATCTGGAGGACAAAATGCAGAAAATTTTGAAGGATTTGCAACATCAGCTAGTATTGATTTGACATTCCAGTTCTAATACTGTTAATTTTGTGGAACAACTTTACAGACTAGGAAGAGTTTCCAAACCCATCAGGAATCGTGCATCCCATGAATTTTTAAGAAGTATGTAGTATTAAATGATGGCAGGGTGTCCAAAATAACTGTTATAGAAATAATGCTGAATTAGAAAGAAAACTCAAGGCTCTGGTCCCAGCACCGCCATTAATTTTGCTCCAAGAATTAGACATGTAAAATAATGATTATATCCTCCAGTTATTTCATGTGCTGATGCAATATCTACTTCATTTTGGAATAAACACTTAAGATCCCTTTTGTCTCTTAAATTGTGCTAGAAATAATCACTAATAATTGTAGTCTAATCTTTAAAACACATACAGTCCCAGATTTTATTGAATACTAAGTCTCTGTATAATGAATGTATAATGAAGTCAGATTCTGAAAGTTAGACAGTAGATTTAAACATGTTAAATGGGTTATATGTGGGATAAGGAAAGATCCTCCTCAAAACATCAGCTACTTTGTTTCATACCTTTTTGATGGAACCTTCAGTAACATACTTCCAAAACTTCATATTTATTCATTTAATGCCCTGAAGTTGAGTACAGGTTGAGTGTCTGGTTCAATCTGAACACCTACCCTAAGCTAATGATTTCTATCTTTGGCTCAGTTCTTTTATTTTACCAATAATTAAACAAAACAAACAATGATGTCAGAGAAATAGATGAAATGCCAAAATGAAACTGGCTTACAGGCAAAATCAGAGAAAAAACTTTAGATACCTACTCATTAGGTAATTTGTAGATATTAAATTCTACACAAAGCAATGTATGAGTCTATATGTAGTGACTAGAACTTGGATTTAATAATGTGGGTCTATCTACACTATAATAATATTGTTAGGATCCTTTCTGAATTAAAAGGTGATTTGAAGCTGATTTACATTGTTATTTGTATACATGGTTTCCAATAGGAAAGAAATCATATAGGTTTTTTTCCAAGAGTTCTGAGCATTACTCACCCCAAATGATAACACAAATAAGAGTATATTCTGACACTTTGAAATGTTTAGCATCAAATGTCATTCTCATTTCAGTTTTTGAGGTTGGTGGTTAAAAAAAAAAAGTTACACTGGGTGCTGTGACTCAAAGTGGTAGAATGCTAGCCTTGAATGAAAAAGCTTAAGGACAGCACCCAGACCCCGAGTTCAAGCCCCACCAGGGACCAAAAAAAAAAAAGTTACTGTCCAAATGGTGTCTTTTTGCACTGAGGGAGCTACACTGTCATAGTGTTTGGTGTGATGAGACTTAATTGTATGTTGAACCATTCCAGATTTAGATAACTTTCACCCTCCAGCCCAGCCCAGAGACTCTCACCGAACTGTTTGACCTTTTGTCCCTCCTAAACAGGATCTGCCAGAAGCTTCCTTCTGCAATTTCTTATATTCATCTTCTCTATAAATTAAATCTAGACATTCAAGCATGACTGAACAAGCATTGAAGATGCATTTGTTGAGATGGATTAGCTCTACCCATCTTTAAATCTCGTTTCAGATAATTATAGATGAAAGATGCCTAGTGGATTGAATTACTGTTTGTTCATATATTCTCATAAATGGTGAGGCAAGAATATAAAAATGCAAAATTGAAAGGCAGATTGGTGAGAATAAGATCCCATTATCATTTCTTCTCAGTTTATATTCCAAATTATGAGATAAGAAAAGAGCAGAAAGCAACTTTGATTACATACACTAAATGATTCAGTGGGACTTCCACAAAACACGGCCATATTAGATCATAGCCAATACGTGGATGTTCTATTGTTGCCAGAAGCCTTGGATTCCCCTCTAATCAACTAGTCCTCCAATTAGCTCTTACCCAGTTTGTTTTGGAGTCCAGTAAATGTATTGACATTATTAGCACGTGGTGTAGTTTCTGGTGGCCTTTGCAAAGCCTCTTCCAGGAATTTAGATGGTTTTTAAACTGACATTCAAATAGCCACTCATTAATTAAACATAGCTCATGACTCTTCGGTAACTTCTTTCTAGGTCTTTATGGCTTGTAAATATTATTGGACTTGCAATGTCCCCCCCAAAAAAGGGAAAGACTGATTGAGCTCAAATAAAAGAAATAATGAGGATGTCAAAAAGGGCCCTAGACCAAGAGAGTTAAT